AGACTATGCGTGCCCTTGAGGCTGGAATAGTAACATACTGTAATGTGATGCTCTGACAAAAGCACCTAATTGTGAAGAACAATCCATTTGCATCAAGATAAGCAGCTAGTAATGTTTCCCTCTCACAGCCGCTTACAGACACTGACTTCGGCTATAAATTACTGCCTCGTGCAGTTTTCAGCCTTTCCCACTCTTTACTGGACCTTAACAAAGCTGATGTACTCATTACCCTAACCTGTTTTCTGGTTAGTGTGAGTGACTAATAAAATTATGTCTTGGTGTGTGATTCATCTTGAATAAAGTATTTTCCAGTCACACAGCAAAAGCCTTGCTGAAAACGGAAAGATTTGATCTTTCGCACTGAAGCCTTTGCCTGTGTGCTCCTAAAACTCAAGCTTTTTGTACCCTGTTATTTGTTAGTATCAAACATACCATCAGTAGCCAAAGTTGCTTCTGCTGTCAGGGCACGTCTGCAGGCATAATGAATTTGGCAATAGCCAAAAGCCTGCTATGCCCAGGAAATGAAACATACAGAAATTAAATGCACTGTGGGAAGCACGTGGGGTATGGGATTCCCACATGGTTGGTTGGGACGACTGAAAATCTGAAGATGATGGGAAAAATCAAAGAGATGAAGGACCCCAAATCCTTCAAACAGAAAACAGGTACCTACCCAATCACCACATGGCTCCAATCTCCTATGGCAACTCCTTACCCCAAACTGAAGAGGAATGTGACACACAAGACAGTCTTTGTGAAGCACATAACTAGTCAGGGGTACACGTGGAAGGCTGCACAATGGTGTTACAGATTAACAAATTGGATGGCTTCCTGAATTTCTGAGTCTAGCATAGAAACGAAAGTAAAAGAGATGATACATAAAGAAGGAAGATGTGATATTGTTTGACAGATGGGCAGGGTTCATATTTAAGCTGCAGAAGAAAGAAGAGGTATTTTGAAAAGTCTGATACAGGAAGAGGATATTGGAATTTGGGGGATTCAAACTAGAAGGAATGTCTGAGACTTTTGGCTTTAGTAAACCTGACAATCCCAATGGTGAAGGTTCAAGATACCACAAAGATCAGGCTACCTCCGCTGCATTCATTTCCTAGGGGCTTGGTTCCTGGAAACATAGAAGAGCCAGGCTGTTGTTTTGTGCTGTGCTGGAGACATGCAGAACAGGAATCAGCATGCAGGCGGCTGGAGCTGCACAACCCTTGGTTGACCCCTTGCAACATATGTTGATTGCCGTTCAGATATGATGACTGCAGATCAGATGTTCATTTGACACTGAGATCCAAAAGTGGGGGAAAGGAGGACGAAAAATTAAATCACTCTTCAACAGGATTATATTTGCATTTGAATTAAGACCTGTGTGCAAGGCAGAAAACCCTATTGATCTCTCACTGCCCTCCATGAAGGCCAGTTTCCAAGTTCGGAGCAGCAACAGAGGGAGGTTTCTCTTTACATCATCCCGTAAACTACATATAGACCCCAAAGGCAGGGCCAGGGAGGGCCAGGGCTGTGCTGGCATGTTATGCATTGCCTAAAACCAGATGGAATAAATTAGGATTGTTCTGTTTGTTGTATACGCTAATCCACGTGTGCAGAGCCAGACTCCAGGCTTAACTGGCTTGCTTCCCTGCACACGCTTTCTTTTAGTCCCTTACAGTGGTGGATAAAAGGTATTTACTGGTATCTCATCTCCAATAGTCTGTAATTCGTGTCCTTGTAGTGCTTTAATGTAACAGTGTTGTCTATTTTAACACAGTGCTGGGGCCTCTCCTGCCTGTCCTGGTTCTCCTAATTTTTTTCATTATATGTTTAGGATGTTTCCCTGTATCTCCCTTTCTTTTTGGTCAAATGAATTAATACTTGTTCCAGATGTTCCAGGATTTACTTTTCAGTGTCATATCCTGGGAACTATCACTATGTTTTAAATATGGAAATTACAAAAGTGTTAGGGGAGGAACGCAAATTATACCAACATTTGCTTTAGAAAGTAATACTTTCCTCTGACTAGCCTCAGGCCCAATGCATTTATTCAGGATTCAATTTACTGTATCTATTTAATAATCTTAAAAGGAGAGTGCAAAAAGTATAATAAAATTCTAAGGAATATAGATATAATGAAATAGATACATATATATCTAAAAACATATATATATGCAGTTTAAACAAAGAACGTTTACCCTCTTTTATGCTTTTAATACACATTTGCCATCTCACCTTACATTTGCACTAGATGTGATTTTTCACTGTGCATTGTAATCAGAGTACTTGTTAATGTGTTATAAAATGACAACACTGGTAGATGGCATGGAGCACGGTGAGACGGTGCTGTACCCTGACGGAGAACTGTGCCCAGCCTGCTACTCTCCACCAGGAGTGGCTGGATGCCCCTGGCGCAGGTTCATCTACTTCTCCCCTCCAAGTGTGGAGGGAGGTGGCAAGGGGTTGGCTTTCCCCCCAGTCAGTGCCAGTAACGAGGGTCAAGCTGGGACCATGCAGGGACTGCCATGGCTCCTGCCTGGCTCCCTCCCCTCCACCCCCTGGAGGTGCTCCTTGCTGCCTCAGCTGTAGTACAAAGGTGCAGTAAGGGGCTTTTCAGGAAAAGTGAGTAAAAAATGTATGCAGAAAAATGTCAACCTTGGGAGGTTTGTGCAAGTGGTGAGTGGAAAGGAGAAGAAATAAATAAGACTGTGTTTTGAAGTTCTTCAACCCAATCATAAGCTTTTGGGTTTGCTGAACTGACCCAGAGCAAAGCTCTCAGGGCCTGCTGTCCAAAACCATGGTCCCATGACAAATGGATAGCACAGCGTCATGGCAGTGGGCACTCAGGCATTGCTTGTCATTGCCATTGGGAGCTCTGCACCCAGCCCTGGCAGAGCTGTGCCTGGCTAGGGGGGCAGCAGGCACCTCACCACTGCCCAGAGGTGGCACAGCACCATCCAGGAACATGGATCATGGTGATCTGACCCAGAATTAATGGACTGGGGCCCAGTCAGCAAACTCAAATAAAACTTCCAATTTGAAAGTGCCAAAGTTTTTTTCTTGGGTTAAGATGTCAAAGCAGATTGTTGCCACATTTCCACGTCTCTACTTGTCCTGGTTTTGGCAAGGATAGAGTTAATTTTCTTCCTAGCAGCTGGTATAGTGCTGTGTTTTGGATTTAGGATGAGAATAATGTTGATAACACACTGATGTTTTTAGTTGTTGCCACGCAGTCAGGGACTTTTCAGCTTCTCATACCAGCCTGCCCATGAGAAGGCAGGGATTGCCCAAGAAGCTGGGAGGGGACACAGCTAGGACAGCTGACCCAAACTGGCCAAAGGGATATTCCATACCATATGACAGTATGCTCCGTATATAATGGGGGTTGGCTGGGAGGCAGCGCCGCTCAGGAACTAGCTGAGCATTGGCTTTGGGTAGTGACCAGTTGTGCTGTGTATCACTTGTTTTGCCTATTCTTTTATCATTATTATTATTTCCTTTTGTGTCCCATTAAACTCTCTTTATCTCAACCCATGAGTTTTACCTTTTTTTCTTTTTGATTTTCTCCCCCATCCCACTGTTGGGGAGAGGGGAAATGCACAAACAGCTGTGTGGTTTAGCTGCCTGCCAGGATAAACCATGACACTACTTTTGTCCTGTCCCCTCAAAGAGAAAAAGAATCTTCTTATCCCAACTTGGAGGAAAGTAAATGTTGTACAATCCCAGTTTTATTACAAGGCGGGAATATGGATTTGTTTTTCATGTAATTGTTTATTCAGAAGTCCCTATAAAATAAACTGCATCTCCTCAGTGTGAAAAGGGATTTTATGGCAAGACGACCCCACTTACAGTTTAGGATGTCTTGTTAATGTAAACATGCTTAACTGAAGGAATGAAGCAAGTTTTGCTGAAGACTTTGTCCTACTCCGGCATGGAGCATTCCTGAACAACATTTTAGATAGAAAGGTAATCTCCAGTCAACACAAAGTTCCTCAGAGTGCCCAGAGCAGTCTCTGCAGGCAGCTGAGCACTTGCACATCCTATTCACAATGGTGGGAATGAAGGACCCTTTCACACCACAGAAATTGAGCGCTTATGGGAAAAAAATTTAAGTGATCTTTAGTTGCTCATAACTGGACCCAGATTTGGCTCTGGTACAACCTAGGTGCCAGAAGATGTGTGTGAATTTTCAGGAGGACTCAGCAGAATGTGTTTTGGATAGGAACAAAAATTCAAAAATAAAAGTAAAGCTCTCCTCAAAATCTGACCTCTGAGTATTCTAATGCTTCCCATATGACTTGGAGTTCCCTGTAGGAGGCAAAAAAACCCAGAAATGGGGTTCTTCATGATGACAACAGATCTTTCTTCCTCTCCCACTTGTCTTGATTTTGTCTTCAGGTTGATTACTTTCTCACTCTGTGGAGTTGCTTGGTCATGACTTCAAATGGCCTTATGAACATTTACAAAGTGTCCAACCTAAGGACTCACATATTGAAGGTTTAGTAGTTTTCTGTCAGTTTGATTTGTCCAGATGGCCCATTTGTGCCATAGCCTCGTAGCTTAGATGCCTTCAGGCTGACTTTTCCCTCTTTCTTTCAAGCATGTGTTTTGAACTTCAAACTGTGCCCTGGTCTTGTAGAGAAGAAAAGACTTTTTTTTTTTTTTTAAGTTTTTCCATATTTAACAGCAACAAGGGTTTCCGAGGATTAGACATACAGGAAAAGGAATTAAGGGTTAAATCTAAGGCAGCAGTTACTGAGAAAGGTCAAAAGTTCTGGTTCTCCAAACAGCTGAGCAAAAACACATGTGTTAGGAGGAGACCAGCTCTGAGGTCCAATGACATCTTTCTGTCTTACCCACTGACAACTGTCAACACAAGTTGTATCTGATTTTCAGCTGTCATGGAGAATAATCCTTTTCTACTCTCCCCCTGCCCCCCCTTTTAATGTTTGTTTGCTTTTTCTTTTAGTATAATATGAAAGTTTAGCCAATACTTGCTATGGTGTAGTTATCCATGACCAATAATGACAAACATGATGAGAAAATGAGAGACTGTCCTTCCGTGTCCAAGAGCAACTGCCTGCCTAGAAGCACGTGAGGCTGCTGGTGGGTATCACGGCTGCCAGGACCGATATGCAGTGTAGTCTCGTGTTGGCGCATAGGATGGGTAACCCTTGTTCTTTTGGTATGGTGGATGCCGGGGAGTCATGTTCATGTAGTCACTCTGATGGTACATATTCTTTTTAGATTTTTGCTGTGGGAGAACGGGAAAGAGAAGTGTAAAAACATTTCTGCAATTAGCCTGTCCTGCCTGGGGTGAACATTCAAAAAGGGAGAAGAAGAAAGGGAACAGGGATCCTTTCAGCAGAGAGGTTTTGACTGTTAATAAGACCTGAGAAAAGTTAATAATGGATTTGATTAATTTTTCCTTCTTTGAATTAACAAATTGTCTCACCCAACTCTCATATTAACTGCTGACAGTTCTGGCCCTAGGCCCTGGTTCAGGGAAGCAGGCATATTTATAAGGCAGCCTCAGGTTTAAGTACATTTAGACAAGAATTAGAACACATGTTCTCATAATATAATCTATGGAATTTGCCCAACCTGAATGTAAGTCTCCAGCTTATCTGCTGAGAGATTTACAGTGTTAGTTCTCCAGGTAAAGGAATGCTGCAAACCAAGGATACAAACTGATACCTCTCACCATTAATCCTCAGCTGGAATGACTCAGCAGAAGCAATACGGCCTGAACAATGAAGGCTGTCCTCATTTATTAGGAGAAAAAAAAATAAATTAGCTTAACTCAAATAGCATAAGAGTAGGAAAAAGCAGCCTAGGCTACGTGTAACATGGTTTGCCTATCGTTTACAGCAGGAACACACAATGTATATGTTGTTCTGAGCCTTCCTTCAAGGGGCAGAGGAATCAGAGCTGATGTTAGTCTTTTATCTGTCTCACTATCTGGGCCTCAAAAATCTCATTTCCACTGTTGAATGCCCCTGTGAGACAAGGCAGGCATCATCTCTTTCAGAAATAAGAGTAGCAGAAGACAGGTGAAATAATTTGCCTATAAGCACAGAGGAAGTTTGTGGCTGTTAGCAGCGTTTCAACCTCTGCTGCAGGCTGTGTACAAGGACGGTGTTTTTGTGTAGCTTAAGGCTTTATTGATCAGGGGCTAGGTAAAGTGCTTCCATGCTTTTTCCTTAATACTGATCATAGCTTCTTTTGCAATCTCCTTTTTACTGAAATTTCCTTCCTATGTACATAAATATTTGCATACTCTGCAGTATACTTGTGATGCTGTGGAATTGGAGGAGGTTTGCATTAGAAAATCTGATGGCTGAATTATGCTGTACATGCAGAGTGGGGCAGTTACTATGAAACAATTTAAGCTTTTTTGTATTAATGTTACATATATGCAAGGTGTTGAATATAAGTTACATGGTGCTTAAGCCATACAATGCAGTCAATGCACATAAATCATTAGATACAAAAGCTTTATCTGTATGTGTTCATCTCCATAATGTAAGATTTTTAATTCACCTAAGAGGTAATTTTGCATGGGAGAAAGACATTTTGCTGGAATGAATGAATGCTGGACTGTTCCAGGATCAAAGACTGCTACTTTTGGAGAGGAAAGCAGTTTTCCTCCAGGGAAGGCAGAACTGTATGAAAATAGACAAATCTTTAGCTGCTTTCAGGAACTCAAGTGAAACAGGCTTGCCACGGCTGTCAAGTATTATATTTTAGGACCTTTTTTTACAATTCACAGTGTCTTCTAGGAAGCTGTATTTACATTCAGCAACACTCTAAATGCATCCACACTCAGAGTACATACTGGCAGGAGAATACCACCAGCAGTGATAACAGCGGGTAAAAACTGATGCAGCAAACAGCACACATCGCAATGCAGCCTTGTCACTCTTGCTGGGGGCAGACATGTTAGTAGCAAAGTGCGTAGCCATTAGGCACCAAATGAATATAGCAGAGAGAAAATGGTTCAGATGATTGTAAATGATGGATTTGAAGCTACAGTATCTCATCAGGGCACAGCCACTGTAGCACAGCACTGTAACACCAGCAGCTGTTTGCTGTAATCCTCTCAGCTCTCCTAGGAGTCAGCCTCCACAGTAAGGCACAAGGAAGGACCACTTAACCTACCTTTGCATTTTCCTGTGGCAATGCCCCATTTGATTGTTTTCCATTAGGAATAGCTATATATTGAGCAAGTGTATTTTTGTGAAGCACTTAACAGATCTCAAGCTTCAGCTAGCAGTAAGAGTGGCTTTCTGTATGCATGCTACATTTAACCTATCAGGGACTCTAGGCCCTGTGTACAGGCTAACTCATCACATGTTGAAAAACACTATTTAACGACAAAGATACAGGGGAAAAGGAGAGTGCAAGGAACAGAGCTCTCTACAGTCATTGTTCAAGCCTTTCCCACACGGAGTAAGTAGCGTAAATCAGCTCTGGGAGATCACAATCCTAAGCCTTGTCTAGGAAGATGTCCTGCTGCCTCTGTGTGACGCCCCTCTCTTTTTACTCCATTGTGCAGAACTGGATATGACCTTGGCCAGCCAACTCTCCAGAGAGATGAGAAAGCAAAAATATCGAGTCATAAGACTGTCTCAGCTTTCTTAGGGTTAATATACAGAGACAGACGAGGGACTACTGACATCCCGGTGCTCCTATTCCCTTGCAGTCAAGCTGCCAGAAATAGTGGGTACTTGAGGGAATTGTTGGAGAGGCACAAGACATTGGTGCAGATGGTCTTGGGCCAACTGAGGGTTCCCTAAAGATTGTTTTACTGTAGGAGAGCTCCTTCTGTCAGTATAGTCTCAAAAGGGTTTGCCAGGAATGCTTGCAGTGCTAGAGTTCCCTCATGGGGACAATCAGCAGACCTAGAGACAGCATCCCAGAATTGCTGGTGTGCAGGGCACTGCCAACACTATGGCATTACTATTTGCTTTAGTACTCTACTGCAGAAGCCTGACTGCCCGCCTGGAGAGCATCTGGTGTTTCAACTCTTTGGGGGCATAGCATGGGTGTGCATATATAGCTGGGGTGAAGAAGCACTGTGATCCTGAAGTGAGGGGTATCAGTGAGTGAGAACTGAACTAGGGACAAAGAGCATATAGAGCAAAGGAAAATAGTAGTTTCTTACCCAGTAGTTAATAAAAACTGCAGTTATTAGCATACTGTACAAAGCAAGAACTCCAGTCACTGCCACCATAATCCACAAAGGAATTGCAGACTGAGGCTCTTCTGTTTCGATGGGTGTCTCTTTAAGGAAAAGAATAAAGAAAACTTTAAGTACACGAAAGCAAAAACCTCAGTCTCTGCTTAGTTACCTCTTGCTCCAATGCACCATTTGTATTAATCATCATTTTAAGATGTCTTCTTCAGGACATCAGGAGCAGGTAGTTTTACCAAGAAACCCAACTTTTTTTTTTTTTTTTTTTTTTTAAGGAAACAAACTGCCTCAAGCCATCATATAGGGAGTGTGTCTAGGGAGGATACTGGCCTACAGACATTTCCCAGCTTACCTTTCACATGAATGACAGTCCCGTTGCTCTTTTCATTGTAGACATATGGGGGTGGATACATGGCCTCGATTTTGCAGAAGTAGATGTCAGTTTGGCTGGCGCTCATATTCCAAAGATTGAAGATGACTTTGTCTTTATCATGAATCCCCTGGCAGTTGAATTCTTTATTTGAATTACTGCTAATTTTGGTCGTGTTCCATGAAATAAAGCAAACTTCAACTGCACTGTCTGTTCCTTTGTGCAGAGAAGCTCGAAATTCCTTCCCTGTTCCATTGTATGTGTAGTTGCAGACTAAAGTTGCAGTTTTGTTAGCTACAATGAGCAAAGGACGCTGAGCCACTAAAATCTTGTTTTCTGGAAGGGAAGGGAAGGGAAGGGAGGGGAGAAAGTGAGAAAAACACTTGTTTATAAAATACAGTATGAGACTTCAGAACCACACATCCTCCCGTGCATCTCTTCTCCATATCTCCTCTCCCTGCTGACACTCCCTCCTGGGCAGTACGTAACCACCAAGCTGCAGAAGCAGTTTCTCACTCTTGTTGCAGCAATTCCCCTCTATATAAATAATTACATAGTCACTAGGGGAGACTGTGAAGTCAAGAGTGTTTTTCTTCAGAGTCAGAACACTAGTACGGAAAGTGGCCCATGTGATTAAGATTTAACATCAGGGCTCAGAAGGCTTTTTTGCATGTGTGTATATATATAAGACCACCTTGGTCTATCCTTTTGTTAGCAAGCAGATTCCCAGGGGGCAGGAGAGTGAAAATACTGTGAATTAGATGCTTAGTTTAGCAGTCAGATAAGAGAATATTATTTATACATTTGCTTTTTAATCCGAGGACAGATTTGAAGAGTTTGCAGGTAGAATTTGCTGAATCATTTCAAGGGTTTGGACCTTGGACAATGAGCACTAAATCATGATCTGCTATCATTTTAATGTAAAAGAAGTAATATCTCTAGCTAGCAACTGTATTAGATCCTTAATCTCTCAAAGGACTCAGGAGCTGTCTAATTTGACACTGCATTGGCACTTAGCACTTGAATGGCCTGCAAAAAAACATGTGACATGAAGGTATAATTCAATTTGAATTGACTGGACTGATACATAAACAGGAAATGTTTTCTGACATGTAGACCTCTGTGCTACCATCTGCCAGACAATGAAACACTGCAAGCACTATGCAGAAAGACAATTTCTTCCAAGAAAAATCATCCTGTACAAATGAGGCACTACTTTTCAAATGATGACCCCTAAGTAAGAGGAAGTAAGTTTTGGCTTCTAAGCTAGGAACTTGCCAGAGCTAAGGACAGCCCTTTCCTGTGTGTATATGACTGCATAAGTCTTCATGCAAGACCTCGACTCATGTGAGGTCTCAGTAACCTTTTACAGATCCCTGAGTATTGCTGTGGTTGTGAGAATGACAGTTGTATCTCTTGTCCTCAAAATCTGCTGCAAAACCTGTATTCTTTCTACTTAATCCATGTGACGAGACTTTAAAAAGGCTAGTAAGGGGAATAGAGTGGGAAGAAGGCCAGATCCAGAATGCCCGAAAAACAAGTATTTCACTGTGTTTAACAATATTTAGGACCAAATGGCTACATTTAATGTGTTCACACCTGCACAAGAAGATGGAGTACCCCACCCTCTTGAGTAGGATACACCTTTGGGATGAACATGATCCAGGGAGTAAAGTAAATACAGAGAGATGCATGAGATGGCCAGGACTGGTGGTAGGGTGTGGGCAGTAAAAACAAGCCACGGCTAACAGGTTCTCCAGTTACCAGCCCAACCCATGAAACTACAAAACTACTGAAGTTGTTCATTTTCTCACTGAATGTCTTGTTTACCAGCTTTCTTCTCATGAGAGCAGGAAGACATGAGACAGGGAATGCTCTACTGCCTCATCTTTAGGAAAGAAAGATTGTAGTCTGTCTCCTCGTGTCTCTTTGTTCAACATAGTGTGAGGGGTGGAGCAGAGGTCATCACAGCTCTGAAATCCCATGTTTGCAGGGAACTCAAACACTGTGAAACTTTTTGTTTTGATGAACAATAAGCATTTCCAGGCTTTCCAGCAAAAAGAGACACAGATCTTGGAATCCTAGAGCTGAGCAGCAGATTAATAAGAGATAATGCAGGTTTCTACTTGAGGTGCTGCCTGTGGTGAATTTTCATCGAAATGAAGACATTTCAGCAAAACATTTCAGTTTCATCGAATCAGCATTTTCCGACACAAGCTCTTGCATAGGCTTATAAGGCATTCTAGTAAGGGGTGAGGTTTGGATTCCATCCCTTTAGACAAGATATTTGATCATATTTTCGTCAGCCAGAAAATTGATCTTTGGCCTAAGTGTCAATGTGCAAGTCTATGGTAGAATTGTTCTACATTTAGCACAGCAGAATTCTACACATCTCGCTTGAGATGGAGTTTTTCTTCTGATTTGCACTACAGTAGTACCCACCACTACAACCCTGATTGTCAAAGGGACTGAATACACCATCAGAAGAGACCTTTTCTGTCTCAGTTTACAAATCAAATAGGCATCCCGGAACAGAGCACTCGCAGCAGCATTACACTTCAGAAAAATGCTTGCCTGTTTTTCACTGCAAGTACTTACAGAAAACTAATGGATGTTTATTGCTCAGCCTGATAAGATTTTTGCTATGGCCAGAGGAAAGACAAAGAATACTGAAAAACTCATCACTGAGGAACCACATTCAAATGTTATTTAGACTCATCTGCAGACCCCATTGACTTACCCTCACCTTTTGCTGTTGTCAGCTAATCTGGATGCCTGATATATAGTACATAGCTTCATGCCTTGAGCTCCACCATTTAACTATAGCTTTGGACTATTTATGTCCTTGCCATGGTATTGTGCTAATTGCCAAGTGGTCTCTTTTCATATACCCACCTAAAAAAACAAGTTCCTTCAACTTATTTCCTCCTCTTGGATTTATGGCCCAGTCTGTTTGCCTTGGCATGCAGGCTGGGTGTTGATAACCCAGCACCCTGCTGCTGATGCTGGGATGCAGGATGGCTGAGCAGTTTATTTGTGGATCATTAAACGAAGACTGCTCCTACATGATTTAAGCTAAGCTCCCAAATCCTTTTACACAAAGTGCCTCTGCTAGTTGAAATCAAAATTGATTGAGGGAGATCTTTTATTTTTCATTTATAGGAACTAATTAGCACCACATGAATTGGTTGGGCTGCAATGCCAGCAGGGGCAAGGCAGGCATACCCCACGGGTGTGTTAGACAGGCCCTGCTCATCCTCCTCCTCCAGGCTTGGATTTTTTTTGAATTGAAGAAGTCAAGCATGCCAAAATGTGTATTAGTTTCACAGGAAAAATAGAGTAAGGTCAAACATCCCTTACTTCACTTGTGATCTGAATAGGATTTGATTATATTCTTAGTAGGATCTGGACCATTCTGAGCAAACATGGGCTGAGGCTGCTTTTGCCTTCACAGAGGGTTTTTCTCGTAAGTGTCGCTTTGGGTTTGTTAAAATGGTGAAACTCTGAAACATTTAGAACGTGTTTCCATTAGTGTATGCTTTCCTCTAAATAGGGTTATGATTGCCATTTCCAGAGCTGTGTTCAGGCATGCTGCACAGTAATAAATATCTGTATCTTGGTCTTACCAAGCCAAGAAAATGGCAGTTATGAAAAATCATTGTCTACAGTTTCAAAAAGCTGTGAAGTCTAAAAATATAAAATCATTGAAGTCAGTGTGCACAGGCTGCAAGCTTTCTCAGGATCTTAGGATTTATATGCAACAGTGTGTAAGATCTCTAAATGTTTGTTAAGCTTTTTATACCTTGTTTGTCATGCTAGACATTTGTTATAATCACGTGAGGCTTTTTTTTCATCATGAAAAAAAAATGCCATCAATATATAATATCCGTAAAATACTGACTCTCTAATCATGGACCCCTGATGCAAGCAAAACTTCATTGACTTTTTTTTCTTTCTTTCTTATTTGCCAAGAAAGTGAAATAGAGACGACAAAGTACGGAAAATAACTATTTTGAGGGTTTTTTTCCAGAACTTTCCATGAATCATCATCAGCTACTGGAAAAAATATTCTACTAAAAATATTTTGTACTCTCTTTCTTTTCCATGCCAGTTGACTTCAAGGAGCTATTTGTCAGAGCAAGGAATCTGGGATAAGTTGGGATTTCTAGAAGCACGGTAAAGAAATGGCCCACTTAAGTCCCTGGGGGGATAGGGGAAAACCTGAAAGGAGTTTATTTAATCCACCAACAGAAAGACACACATCTATGTTATAAACAAGGCTAGTCCATTTTTGCTGCTGCTGATCTGTTGTTCAATTATCTTTACTCTTCTTTCCCAGGTACAAGGGTCTTTCTCTTTTACTTTGGTTTTAGGTCACCCAGCTGTGTGTATAATGTGCAGCTGGAGGGACCTGCCCCTTCTAGCCGTTACAGACTTGCTTTTTGCTAATCTTTCCTACTTTGGTGCGAGTACTGCAGGAAGCACGGTACTACAGAAAGCCCAGGTGACACTCTGGCTTTAATCAAACCCAGTGTGAGTACAGGGGGGTTTCTTGTCAGTTTGTGGTATTATTTTTGAACAAGAATTTGCTGATGTCATTCTAATCTCAGCTAACCTTGCCTCATACATCTTCTGCATTCTGGTAACCTTAGTGGTTGATTTTAACACCCAGAGACCATAAGCCAGAAGGTTGTGCAGGTAGTAGCAAGATGAGGCGATTTGCGGTACGCTGCAGTGGGAACCCACTTACATATTACTTATTTCACAAAATACGTGGGACAGGCAACTTGATCTAGCTGCCTGTCTGACAGACCATAGCAATAATTATTTAGCCAACAAAAAGGTAGGGAGGACAAACTTTGTAAATGTTAGTGTTTCTGCAAAAGGGAAATGAACAAACCAATCTTTTAAGTCTCTTTCCATGATTCAGACTCAACCTGCAGCACTCACTGGTACAGTCTAACAACAGCAGAATGGGACAAATTTTGTTGTCTTCTCCAAAACAAAATACCTGAGGCCTACAATACACTCCATGATTGAGGAAGTCCTGCAGGGTTTTGACCTGCCTTAATGTTTTCCATGTACTAAAGATCAATCGTCTCGATCGAAATGAAGAGGTGGAGAAAAGATACGGGGAAAAGATGAGAGCCCTTAGAAGCAAGTGACCTCACGTTCTTCTCTTTAAGCAGTTGAACAGTCTCAGTGAAGCTATTGGAGAAATTCAAGTTCTTCATGCAAAGCAAGTGTATAAATGTCTATAGAGTCATGGCATAACATCTGTGTCTGGAAGCCACACACTATATTTTATTTTGTTGCAATTCAAAAGAGTTGCTTAAAAGTCGTTCATGCCTCATGGAAATGTTTTTAAAACTGTTAGCCCACTGCTGATACTTATCCCCTCCTGGAATCAGTGTCTTCTCTGACAACCCAGGGGCCCGCTGTGATATTATGATGTTGCAAACACATAATTGTAAACATGGGAAAAGGACAAGGAAGAAAAAAACCTATGATCTCTTAAAGAAATGTAGATCACAATGTCATGCAAATTACAATGCCTTCACTGAGGAAAAGAATTGTAGAAAAATAAGGCAGAAATAAAGAAAAATTAGATTCAATTGTATCTCTCATATTAGAAAGAGCAACTCTTTAAAGATGTTCTGTATGTGAAAAGTTTTGTCCTGGAAAACAGATTTTTGTTCCTCTCTGTAACTTCCCTGTAAAATACAAAACACTGATATTTGGAGAAGACTCAATAACAACAGTTCACAGGCCAGCGGTTTGAAAAATTGTCTGTCTCAAGATTATCCTAGCACAAGCCATCATCCCTTGCCTTGCTTTGCATTTTGATCTACCCCTTGGAAATACATGTTAACCCTGAACATACTACCACTGTATCAGCAATACAACACCAAGACAAAATACCCTCTCAGCTACAACTGGAGAGTCAGAAAGATTCGCTGAGACTCAGTATTTCAAAATCCCAAATAGATGTTTTTTGTTGTTGAATATCTTTTCAGAAAGACACTAGATATCTAGTAAGTATCAATAAACTACTAAACAATGCAAAAATCAGAAAATCAGCAATTCCGATCCTCCCATCTTTGAGCTCAGTAAGCAACTCTGCTTTTGGTCCATTTATTTGCTAGTTCCATGAGGATGTGTGTGGGCTCAGCTCTGCAGCCCATCACATCGAGCTGGGACATGGTGGGACCTGGAGCTTCGCACAGGAGACTTGGGGATGGTGGACAGGCACTGGCAGCAGGTCTGCTCAGCCTCCCCGCCCCCCAAGAAAAGCCACTCGTGAGCAAAATCTGTAAAGCCCATGGGGAAGGTGACATAAACCCTCCTCTATGTATGCATGCAGTTTCCAAATGCATCTAAAGAGATCAAATTAAAGGAAAGCTCTTGGGTCTTATCTTGGAGGCATACTTGTGGCATGAAAAAAAAATCAGCATCTTAGTTATATCAAGTTGATCCATGTGCAGTCTTAGCAGTACGGTCTGTTTCTCCCCTTTCATCTAAACACAAAATGATTTGTGCAAAATTAATTCAAAGCTATACTAGACCTTCTCCCCCCCGATGATGAAAGTGAGGAAAAATAGCGGAAAGAATTGAACTGTGGGGGGTTTAGTTACCTGTTACATCAGCAGCGGGGATGAAGCAGAGCACCACGACGATCCCCAGGAGCATGGTGCTAATGGTGGGCCTGATGCCTTGTCCCCACCCCCTCCAGGCACTGCCACGTCTCCCAGGGCCCCACGCTACCAGCCTTCCTTCCCTGTGGGGCCAGGCTGCACCCTTGGTTGCTGACACAACTTTCTTTCTCCTCCCTCCACACCACATGATACACAGCCAAGTGAAAGCACTGTAATAGCAACGCTTGAACAGGAAGTTAAATTGTTTGATGAAGTTTTATGAATTTGCCTCTACAAAGCTCAGTAATGTCTACAAGGTAGCAGAAGCCCACCTTTCAAAACAGGGACTCTCGTCCCTGTATTGCAAGATGTGTGCTTGTGTTTGGGGCTCTACAGAGTTGCTCCTATCAGGGAGAAAAGGACTTCCCTAGAGGTGCAGTGCCGTTTCTTTACCAAGAGTACATGCAGATGTACGCTGTTCCCATCATCATGGTAGAAGCAAACGGCAGTTTCCAAGTTCCTGGTGGCCAAACCTGGCCCCTGAGGAAGTTGTGTGCTCAGGAAGCTCCATCTCTCCTCACTCCTAGGAGCAGAAACCTTCCTCTTCTGGCCTGTCGGCTTGCTTCTGCTTGTCTTCCCAGCCCCTGGGAACACTGACATATTTTTCAGTAGATGATCTAGATTTGCTCATTTGAATTTTTCTGCTTCTGCTTGCCAACTAAATGCAGACCAAGCAATGCAAGAAACAGTGATCGGGTATACCTTCCCTTTTTGAAAAAGATCCCAAGTTACGAATGAGCACGGCTGTAATCCAACTGACATTTAAAAAAAGGCAGCATGCAGCAAGCACACTTCTCAGTTGGTGCTTTCACTGGAGGTCTTCTTATTTAAAGTTTTTCTCTTCAACTCACCTGGCAAATGCTCACCCTTCCCTGTCCTCCAAGCTCAATGTCATCTCTCCCCTTGAAACAGCAGGATTGTGAGAGCCAGTTAATGGCATTTATAACTCTGGTTATTAACGATTTACTTTTGTACACCAAAGTAGAAATATTTAACTGCATCAATATCTGTGATTTATTTGAGAGAAAAGGAGAGGTGTTTAGCAGGAAGACTTTCAAGAAAATTGGGCTGCTGTAGAAAGGGATGAAGAGCCATGAACGGTTCTTCCTTTTCCCTCAGTGTCTGAGGTCTTTAGGCCATGTTCTATCAGAAAGTACATATGCAATCTAAGAGCAGCTTTAGCTGGTATATCCATTTGCAGTCTAGGAATTTTAACAATATTCTTTTGTTTTGTAATCAGTGTAAATTGCCTGCAGTACTGAAAGTTTTGGAATTTCCTTGTACTTAAAAAATAAAAAAGAGAAAAAAAGTCAGATTTTCTCTTTCTTAGCCCACTTTTGTGGTTTCTAGATAAATATCCTGAAACCTTTTTTGAGTCATATGTGTGTGCCTGCAGTTATCAATGAAATAGTCTCAGCTTAACTTGAAGTGATAATCCCCCAACAAAGTTACAAAATTCAGTATCTTTTTGCTGAACTGCTCTGACAACCACTGTTGTCACGTCTCAGGTAACTGCACAATGTTTGTCAGGCTCAGGTAACTGCAGAACGTTTATGGAGTCTGCTGCACAATTCTGCATCCTGGCTGTCAGATCCTTTCTGTATTTGGGATACGGACTGGAAATACAGAGAGTACATTGTCCCCTCATCACAGAATTAACAGAGTATATTGCAGAGACACAGCTACTGCCATTCATTTCACTGGCATGTGTTGACACAGGGGCATCATTCAAATGGAAACCTGATTGTGGAAACAGTTGTATAGGAAGACATCCTGCTCTAGAAATACCACTAACAAAAAAAAAGAGGGAACAGGGCACTCTCTAAATGTGGCTGTGGACCCATTTCTTACCTTCCATCCTTTTTTGTTCCTCATGTGCCTCTCCCATGGTGAGGACAGACCAAAGCACTGACTGCAAACAGGGACTGGACTGGTGGAATAGAGGAGAGGGAAGAGGGGCCACTGAGGAGTTATCCACTGTGGCCCTAGAGACCAAGCTGCGATGCAGCATTTCTCGCTGTGCTGATGAACAGCATTACCAGTATTGCCCTTTCTAGAGCATCTGGTCCTTCAGTCATGTTTTCAGTTTTGCCTGATAGTTTCCTCTTTGAACCCTGGAGTGAGGAAGGGCTTGGTTTTTTTTTTTCCCTGCTTCCCCCCCCCCTCCCCTCCCCCCCCCCAACC